ACTATTTTCTTCCACTATTTGATCTGAGGAAGTGGGTCTGGCCCACGAAAGCTCATAATCTAATAAACCATCTTGTTAGTCTTTAAAGTGCTACATTGTCCTGCATTTTGCTTCAGCTACCCCAGACTAACCCGGCTACATTTCTATCACAAATAAATTCATATTACTCTAGAAAAAAAAATCATATTTGCTAAGAAGTGACTCAATTCCTTATTTTTCTATTTCTGGAACATCATCATCTTAGGACGGGCAGGCCTGATGATGGGGGGAGAGGCAATGGTGCAGTTGCCCTGGACTGCCGCCATTGCTACTGCAGCAGCAGACAGAGTCCCTGGTCCTTTAAATCACTACTGGAGAGTCTGGCATTGCTGAAGAGCAGGCAGTGGAGAGCAGGGGGGAGTCTAGTCATGCCTTACTCCTTTTGGCCAAAAGCCAGCCATTTTCAGGAGCATGCTCCCTCTTCCCCCTTCTTTCCCAATCCCCCCTCCCGCAGAGATCCAGCAATTTTGTCAGCCCTCTGAGGACAGAAAATGTACAAAAAAACAAGAGAAAATAATGGAGTTATTGCTTCTCAAGTATATAACTGAAAATTTCCCAGAAATTCAACTGTGTTTGTTTCCTGAACACATTTACAAATTGTTCAGAGAGTTCTTTCTCACTCCTACCTATTCTGAATTTGTTCTTTTTAGTTTGATACTGGACAACAGCAATTACATAAGTCTTGTACATTTACCATTTCCTGTGGTCCAACATATGGCAGTTGCTTCTGGTATGCTGAACAGAAATATCTCTATAACTTAAGAGCTTCAGGGGGTAGCCGAGTTAGTCTGTACAGCAGTGGTCTCCAACCTTTTTTACACCCAAGATCACTTTTTAAATCTCCGAACAGGCAAAGATCTACCAGCCCGCCCCTTCCTTGAAGCCCTACCCCTTCCTTGAAGCCCCGCCCTCTCTGTTCTCCTGTCCATCATTTGCTATCCCCAGCCTTACTTACACACTCTGATAAACAGTTTATTTTTAAATTATGCGATGTATAAAATTAAAATCACGTGTTTATAGTTATGAAATAAATGACCTGTTTTTTATTCAGCTATTTACATCTAAAATGAAGCATTTATAATTATACATTTTGTGGGGACAGAGTTCTGCGGCTGGGGGCAGGGGAGAGGGAACAGGGTGCTGGGAGGGCAGAGGACAGGGTTCTGCAGCAGGGGACAGAGTGCCAGTGGGGACAAGTTTCTGCAGCTGGGGACAGGGTGCAAGTGGGGACAGGAATAGGGACAGAGTTCTGTAGATGGGAACAGGGGAGTGGGAACAGAATTCTGTGGCTGGGGACAGGAGAGTGGGGACAGAATTCGGGGAGTGGGGACGGGGAATGGGGACAGAGTTCGGTGAGTGGGGACAGGGGAGTGGGGACAGAGTTAGGAGAGTGAGAACAGAATTCTGTGGCTGGGGACAGGAGAGTGGGGACAGAACCGAGTTCTGTAGCTGGGGAAAAGGGAGTTGAGACAGAGTTCTGTGACTCGGGAGTGGGGGCTGGAGTGCCAGTGGAGGCAGAGAGTCCCCTGTATCTGCCTCCTCCCAGGATTCCCCCGCCCCCAAAGGGAAGCCAGCGCGTGCCTGCCCTGGGGACAACCCC